TATTTGCCTTTACTCTTATATTTATATTTTCCTCTGGCAACAAGAGAGCGATAATTGTTATGCTCGTTCAATAACACTTCCCTATGATGAGGTGACACTTTCGTCCCACAATCTGGTATAACATCCTCTCTAGATTTTGCCACAACAATAAATACAACTGAAATATATGATACAGTGATGGCAATGTAAGCCAAGTTTAACAGTGTTTAAGATTCAAGGTAGGACAATTTAGCGCCGATAGGCCCTACCACCTCGATTATATAGTCCTCTACCTCTGTTTCTAAGTAGTAGCAACTAGGCTTAAAAAGCGTTTGCTGTACGATGCAGCAATTTTCACGTCAAATATCAGAAAGGTAGCTCTGCCTTTGCATTTATTATTACGATAAGTATGATGCTAACGAAAAATGGACTTACATATTACTATAATAAGAACAATGATAACGACAATAATTGCTACTGCAGCGATCCAATATTTTCGAAACCCTCTTTCTTCACCTTCTTCGCCGGTAGCAGCGGATTCTGCATAAGATCCTTCTTCTGCTTGAGGATCATCCACATCGTTGGACATTATATGAAAAATAAGATTAGTAGTTGAAACTTGCCTTTTTATAGCTAGGATATGCTGTTATCAGTGATAAGAGATTTATTGTGATTTAACTGAGATTACGTTAACAATTCTATTTTTAAGTAAATAGCAATGATATATGTCAGTGTCAAGTTCCAGATAGAGCAGCAACATTAAGTTTAGGAAAGTATAAAATCAACGCGTCATGTAAAAAAAATATTGCTATCCACACATCTTGTTAATTACAGGGGTTTAAAGGTTCCTTTTACAAAAACCACTGTAACTCCCATCCTGTACGCTTTTGAAAACAGCTGCAATTGTGTACAATCGAACGTTACAAACCAATTATTACAGAAATGCAAGAAAACATAAAAAGTTACAGAGAGTTACCATATACACTCTAGCACATTATATCTACACAACGAAATACACATATACACCTACTTCGGTGCAGTAAACGATACGCTAGCCGTTTGAGACAA